TTCCAGACCAATGAAAGCCCTGTTCCTCCTTAGCACATCCCCTCCCACCTCCCCCCAGCTCCTTCTGGTAACCAGTGTATTTTTTACAGACTGTAAGCCTGGGGCCTCAGTCTGCTGGGGCCTCACTGGTGGTGCAAGTGGTTAAGCACTGCACTGTGAAGCAATCCACAGCCTCTGCAGCACGAGTTCAACCCCCGGCCAGCCAGGGAGCAACACACATGGTGTAGCAGACCTCTTCTGACTCGCCCACTGCTCCCCTCAGCAGTGTACTTTGGTCAGTCTGCCTGTACTGTTCCCCACTCTGTCTCTGGTGGATCCTCTCACCCCCCTCATCTCTGGCCTGTACCCCAGCTCTCGTATGCATAAATAAATAAATCTGAAAAAAAGGAAGTGTGTTTGCTGTGATTTGCCAGTGTGTGTGTGTGTGTGTGTGTGTGTGTGTGTGTAGGGAGAGTTATTTATAATATACAGATAAACTAAAACCATCTGATACTTGTCTCTCACTTTCTGATTTATTTCACTTAGCATAATCACCTCAAGTTTCATCGTTAATTCACTTTTAAAGACTTTAAAACCTCAATGTTAATAGAGCCTCCGCATTACCAATGGCAGAGACCAAAACTAGCTTCCCACTTCTGTTCCTGGGAAGGCCTGAGTCACAGAGGGTCCAAGATACTGATTCAGAGTCATGGGCAGTCATGGGCATACCTTGGAATAGATTAATATTTCTGACCACAATAACATATTATGCACACAATTAATCATAATTATAAATACTAGGACTTTCAAAGTTTTTCTGGATAATCTTCATTTTCTCTCCTCCAAATTCATCAAAACCTTGTGTATCCCTTGTAAATGGTTCTAAAACAATGTGTTGATATCAGGACACTTTATATTTAAAATAAAGGCAAATTTAATTCTTGCCAGGTTAGCTTTTCTCTTGCAAATTTCCTGCTTCAACACATAGTGCTATAATGGTGTTGTGTTACCTGTTCTTCAACCTTAATAAGCTCGTGCAAAATTAAGCAGAAATTCCAAAATCCTTAAGTTCTATCTGAATGACTACTCTTAATTTCTTCTCTTCAACTCTTAAACCAGGTTATAAGATTTCTCTTAGTGTATCTATCTACAGATGCAACAATTGCCTTTTTTTAACACATGTTATTTATGTCTTAGCATCTTAGGAAAGAAACAATCAAGTAAGGCAAACCTTATTATGTTCTATATCAAAATGAAGTTGACATCAACAGGGACCTATGCATGTATCTTCAATTCATACTCAGTAAGCAGAGCCATTTTAGTGGAAAAAGAAATCAGGTATCTCCAGCTTCCATTGCTGACAGTCTGTCAGGTTATTTACAGTCAACCTCAACCTCAGTGTCCTCAACTGTTAACTGAGGACATAAGATCCTTATTTGCATACGTTTTCTTAGCAGCCATTATAACCCATAATTTGATGGTTCATACTTCATATTCCTGGTTGTTTCTAAACAGTAAATTGACACAAACATTCAAACATAGTTGTGAAATAAATGCTTCAAAAACGTATTGTTGGGAGGAAAGAAAGAAACTATAAGATACGATGATTAAAAAAAAAAGCAATGGTGGGCAAGGTAGGGTTTCTTTTTTTTCTTCTTTTTTTTTTATATTTAAAGAACAGGTTTATTAGGAAAGGGATAAAACAGTTAGAGACACTTGAATAGACACAAGCGGGCAGGAAGAGCTGCCCCAGAAGGGACAGGTTTGCTAAGAGAGGTCTGCATAGTTACAGGTGGGCGGCCTTGACAGGTCACAGGCAGGCAGGAAGCTGCTGCCCTGCAGAGGGAGAGTGTTGGTGAAAAGAGGCACCCGCACAGGCACAGGTGGGCAGAGGAATTTCCTCCTCTTCTCGCTCCCCTTCCCTCTGTTGAATCAATGGTCAAAAGGGTAGTTGTCAGAAAGTATTTAGGAGTAACATTTATTTATTTTTTAAAGATTTATTTATGCCTACAAGAGATGGGGTACAGACCAAAGGTGTGGGGGGTTAAGAGGATTCCCCAGAGACAGAGTGGGGAACAGAACAGGTGCATCGACTGAAATACACTGCTGAAGGGAGCAGCAGGAGAGTCAGGAGAGGTCTGCTGCGCCATGTGTGTTGCTCCCTGGCCATCTGGGGATCAAAATTGTGCTGAGGAGGCTGAGGACAGTTTCATAGGTTGCGTCTTAACCCCTTGAGCCACCAGGGAGGCCCTAGGAGTAACATTTAAATTCCTGATTTTTATATATTTTCACCTTTTTATTTTGTAGAGTTCTTTTTTTATGATGCTGAATGGTTGCTCTTGATTTCTTTCTGAATTCTGCAGTGAGCTGGTTAAACCTTGGTTTGTATCTCCAAGGCCCTTTGTGTAGTTTGTGTTTAATTTCACATTCCTTAGCCCATTTGAAAGCTTGACTGAAAACAAAATAGAATTCATTCAATTGGCTTGTCTCTGACATGCTATTCTGCCCAGTGTTAATTTTTCTACCTCAATTTTTGTAGATTTTCTACACATAATTAACATTCTCCAGTCACCAAACTTAAAGTTTAATATGCTGAAGTGATTTAGAATTTGGGGGTATATTGTATTTATTTGTATTCAACAGAATTAGTTATATTCTGAAAGATTTCTGTAGCTATTTCCATTGTTAGTGAAAGGACAGAGTCTACCTCCACTTCTGCCTTCACTCTGGCTTTAACAGGTCAGAACCAAAAACAGGTGATCTCAGTACCCTTCAGCTGTGCCTGAATAGCCTGCAAAGTCACCTTCATAAGGTTCTTTTTGCTTTGTTTTTTGCCTTCGAATTCTCTTCGTTAGAGTCTTGCTTCCTATTTTCTTGTTTTCTAGAATATTTGAAGCACCTTACCATTGAGATATAGGTTTTATAAGTACATTTCAAAATGACTGAATGTAAATTTTAATAATAAAAATACTCTATTTAAGATGTGAAATCTTTGATAAGGTTTTGTAGGGGCAGGACTGGGCCACTGAGCAGGTTTTCTGATCCAGCAAATGGGGTAAAGGAGGAGTGGTGGAGCCCTCGGAGCCCAAAGCTTTGCAGGCTTTTATTGGGATTACCAGGTACATGGCAGGCAGGGGTTCTGGGGGGCCGGGAGGCTGGCAGGCCTCCCAGCCTCCAGCAAGTCCTCACTCTATCTGGGCTCTCTGGCCTTCTCTCTCCCTCTCGGCTTCTGTTCTGCTTCTCTGCTTCTTTCTCTGCTTCGCTGCTCCTCTTCTCTCGGCTTCTCCTGGCGTCCCCATGACGCTGCCCTTAAAAGCCCTGTCTCAGCCCAGGTGAATCCCATCTACATATGCCCACACCCTATTCCAGGTGCCGCCATGAGGCATGCATTCAGGACCGCAGGGTTTGGTCATCTATCCTAATGGTGGGAGGGCAGAAAAGCCTGATACTTTTAACTTATCCTACAGTTTTGAAAACATTGTGATTTAAAGATAATGTCTATGGGGCCTCCCTGGTGGCGCAAGGGGTTAAGACGCAACCGATGAGGATGAGGCTGTCTGCAGCCTCTAGCAGCAGGAGTTCGATCCCCTGGCTGGCCTGGGAGAGGCCCACATGGCACAACGGACCTCTCCTGTCTCTCCTGCTGCTCCCCTCAGCAGTGTATTTCACTCAGTCTGCCTGTTCTGTTCCCCACTCTGTCTCTGGTGGGTCCTCTCACCCACACCCCACCCAGCGCCTTTAGCCTGTACCCCAGCTCTCTTGTATACATAAAATGAATGAATGTTTAAAAAAAAAGAAAAGAAAAATATAAGAAGGGGACAAAGGAGGGGACAAAGGGTACAAAGTTTTGGTTATAAAGTTGAATATGTCCCAGAGAACTACTGCACAACAAAAGACTATAAATAGCAATACTGTATGTATTCAGTGCCTAGTAATTTGCTAAGAAGGTAGATCTCAGGTTATGTCTCTCTCGCTCACACACACACACACACACACACTCACACACAAATAATAAAACAGGAGGAAACTTTGAGATGGTGGATAGGTTTATGGCATAGATTGTTAAAATAGTTTCACGGGTCTATGACTATATCTACATTCATTAAGTGGTATACATTAAACATGTACAGCTTTTTGTCAATCATACCTCAATAAAGTGGTCTTAAAAAAAGATAATTTCCACTTGGTGAGTGCTTCATAGTCCTTAACATATTCTCTCATGTTTCTTCAGACAACTGGGCAAAGAAGTCATTAATATTGCTTTTTTCGAAAGAGGAATCTGAAACTAACAGACTTTGAGCCCCAGGACACCTCCCTGGACCTGTAAAGGTCAAAGTCAGCACTTGGAAGTCAAGCCTGGCCTCAACACATGCCCATCTCTTGATTTCTTGCTTAAGCTTCAGTTCAAGAAAAATCTCAAAAAACCTCCTAAATCAATAGATACTGAGAAACTAGAGCTAGAATAAAATTCTCTAGACATATATATATTTAATATATTTACACATTACTATTTTTCTATAGATCCCTAACCAGTTTGGTGATGTCCTTTTCCAGATAACATTTTTAAACATGAAGAATTAAAACACATAGGATTACAAAGGAAACTAAGTATATTACAATTATCAAGATATGTTTAAAATGTGTAATATTACATTTCTTTATTAAAATGTTAACATTAAAGAGTCAATAGTGTAATTATGAAATAGTGAAGGCATAAATATTTCAAGGTATCTGCAAGAACTTTAAAGGGTTATAAAAATACTTGATTTCTTTTGGTGATAAAGTAGTAATGACTGTGATTTGTTGCCCACATTCATCATAAAAGGAAATGTTAATTTTACTTACAGTATATTGAAAATAGAGATATAATTTTTTCCTAATCCAAGTCTATTAAACCCCTGAAATTTGTACCCAAAGAAGTAGAATCTGCTGCTCTGAACTCTGACATTAGGAAAACACAGTTCGTTCTCCATGCTTTCAGGGGAAACCATCTTTTTTTAAACATTAAGAGTGACACCTACCTTCCAGGGTCTCGCATTGGACCAGGTTGATGTAGTCCTGCTGGGTGAGGAGGCTGGCTTTGCACCCTCGCACCAGGCCTTCCAGGTAGCCATGGTCCACGTTAAAGTACAGCTCAGCACCCTCAAGCATGACTGAAAGAGCTCTGTGTCCTAGTCAGCCCCTGAAGACTCACACTAGTTTGGAAAAAGCACTAGCAGTTAAGAGGCATAATCAGGAAATGATCTATCAGCTGATAGTGTTTTCATGACTAGTTTCCTCCAGTTTCAGTGGCTTTCAACATAATCTGCTTAGCCTTGTTTTTACAGCAACAGAGAATGAGTTAGAAAATCTAAGTAAATCCAGGAAGCAAACCACTACTAGGAGGAGACTTAGAGAACCAGAGGGAGGGTCAAAGCTCTACCCTCACACTCCCTGAGCAATCCCCCACTTCCTAGCTCTGCTCTAGGAGGGCAGGAGACACCTGGATGTTTGCTAAACATTCCTCCCCCATCTAAGCTTCTGAGGTTCCAAATGTAAATCACTTTTGTCTTAAATTGCTCAAGGTCTATTAATATAAAGAAAGAGAGGATCTTTTTTTAAATTAACTTATGTAAGTAGATCAGATTTGAGCTGGCAATTTGAAGAAAATGAGAAGCTAATTTTGTAATGCAGTTGTTTGTAGATAGATGGTTAATATCGTCTTGGCATTCACAAAGTTGGTAGTTTCTTCTTCCTCCTACCAGTCCTCAAACTACGGGCAACGCCCAGGAAACAATCCTGGAAGCAGATACACAGTGTTGTGATTCTATGATAATGAGCCACTTCTGCAAAATGTGACCACTTACCATGCACTTTTTATATTCTTTTTCCCACTTGAATCTCAAGATACTCTGAGTCATGTATCTGGACAGATAGTATTATTACCCTAATCACAGATCAGGAACAAGCTCTAAGAAGCTATAAAGCAGCTCAACATGCGCAGTTGGTAATACAGTAAGTACTTAATTAAATCAGGACTAAACTGTTTCATGCTCCAAAAAGGAATGCTTATTCTTCCTTATACTTAGCTCAAAAATTGTGTCAAATATTCTGAATACTGCTTAGCAGAAGTGGTATTTCTTTTTCATATATATCGTGTCAAATTCTTTACTGAAGTTAAAATTCACTTCACTCTTCTTAGTGTTTTCAAATGGGGAGAAAATATATGACAGAATAAATGCAAATTTTGCTTGTGTTGTTGAAAATCTAAGAATCAAGCTACTTTAGCACAGTGCCCAGAACTTTGAAGGTATTCAATAAATGGAAGATTTTATTATCTTTATCATTTTCTGTCCTTAAACTCAAATTCAAACTCAAAGATAAACTCAAAACATGTGCAGGCAAACTCATTCTCCCATTGAATGGAGATATTCCTTGGAGAGATAGCTTGTCTAATATCTTGTGCATAAAAAGTTTCTTTCTTGATGTTGCAGACTTTTCATATGGTAGTGAGGAAGCAAAAGAAATACAGTCTCTTTCTGAGAGCAATCCTCTGAATGTCATCAATGCAGCCAACTGAGGGACGCCATAGTCTTGCTAACCTCTGAGGTGGTTGCCCAGGTGGACAGTCATTCCCATCATCAAACACACAAACTTGAGAGTATCTTTAGAAGCCAAGTGTTGTGTAGGTTGAACTTTGACGTGGGACCAGGATTTTGTATTTTCAGTGACAAAATCAAAGACCAAGTCAAAGCCCTTTCTTAAAACTATCAACACCTAAAAAAAAAAAAAAAAAAGAAAAGAAAAGCTTTACAACTTTTTATTATGAAACATTTCAAACACAAATAACAGGAAAAAATGGTCAAATTAATCCCATGCATCCATTACTCAACTTTAATAATTATCAAATCTCACTTCAGCTTTTCCAGGGACCAGCAAGGTTTTCCTATATAAGGACAGAAAGTATTTTAGCCATTGTGCTTTCTACAATCTCTGTTGCAATTACCCCACTCCACCATCATAGAGAGAAAGAAATTATGGACCACACATAAATGAAGGTGCACAACTGTGTTCCAATAAAAATTTATTAACTTAAACAGATGATGGGCTGGATTTGGCTACTTGAATCACAGTTTGCCAATACCTGATCTATATGACTCAGCCCTTCCTCTTCACCCTGAGTTTTTCCCAAGTACACCCAAAATATTATTTTATCCATTAATATTTCAGTATCTTCAAAAGAAATAGTATAGTCAAAACTGCATTATGAAACTTACTTATTCCTGAATATTAAGTGTTGGGGCCTCCCTGGTGGTTCAAGGTGTTAAATCGCAGCACTATGAAGCTATCCTTAGCCACTGCACCATGAGTTCAAACCCCGGCTAGGGAGGTTTCCCACATGGAGCAGCAGACCTCCCCTGTCTTGCCTGCTACTCCCCTCAGCAGTATATTATAGTAGATCTGCCTGTCCTGCTCCCCACTCTGTCTCTGGTGAATCCTCTCACCCCCTGCACCTCCAGCTTACATCCCAGTTCTTGTATGCATAAATAAATAAATCTAAAAAAAAAAAATATATATTAAGTATCCAGTCAGTGTTGAAATTTTTTCAACATAATTTTAATTTATTTTACACTTGGTGTGTTTGAAAGGTAAAACATTACAACTGGTTTGCATGTCACTTAACTTTCTATTAGATACACCTTCTCTCCTATTTGTTCTTTTCTGTTGTTGTTTAAGAAGCTGGGTCACGGGTCCTCCCCGGTGGCGCAGTGGTTGAGCGCTGGGTTGCGAAGCTGCCTGCGGCCTCTGCGGCGCCAGTTCGATCCCCGGCTGCTCCCCGGCCACCGGAGGAGGGTCCCACATGGCGCGCAGACCTCTCCTGCTGCCCGCTGCTCCCCTCAGCAGTGTACTTCGGTCCTTCTGCCTGCTCTGCTCCCCGCTCTGGCTCTGGTGAATTCTCTCACCCTCCCGCGCTTCTGTCTGTACCCAGTGCATGTATAAACAAAACAAACAAACAAACCAGCAAACAAATAAATAAAGCATGCCTCTAAAAAAAAAAAAAAAAAAAAAGAAGCTGGGTCACATGTTCTGCAGAATTTTCCACAGTTTTTAACTTGCTGATTTTATCCTGAGGTGTCATTGGGCTTGTTGCTCTGACTCCTGTAATTCTAATAAATTGGCAGTAATGCTACAGACTAAATCTCTTTGTTAGATTTTTTTTTTCAAGAACACTTCACAGAAATATTGAAAAAAAAGAAATATTGAATACTTTCATCAGGAGGCATATAACATCTACCTCTCACTTTTCTTTTTGAAATGTCAGCAGCCATTTATGATCACCACTGAGAGTCACTGTTTCATTTGGAGTAAAAAAAAATGATTTTTTTAGTTTATTATTCCTTCTTCATCTATCATCTACTATGGGTTATCAGAGTCTAAAGTTTGTATATAAGAAAGGCAGAAAAAAAAAGAAGGCTGGATAAATACTTAACTTACTCGATTTACGTACTGGTTTTCCAAATAATGAGTTTGTTCCTTGATGCTAAGGAATGCTAAGGAATCCTGGTAGTCTTTGACATGTTCTTGCTTCTGTAATGACAGGGTGTTCTATGCTAATTTTGTGTAATTTTTGCCCAGACCTGGAATCAGCTATTTCTCTGAGGAACTCTGGTTAAATATTGCAGTTCTGAATGCTTATTCAGAAAAAGGCAAATTGCTGAAGTTTAGTGGACTGTACAACAAGTGGTGTGAAGAACCCGCACTCCTCACAGGAAGCAATGGTGAGTCCGTGCAAGTGGCAAGTTTCTTAAACAGATGTTCTCAGCAGAGGCAGTACTTTTGTGAATGGATGGGCAGTTAATTTCCTTTCCCTTTCTTTTCCCTCCATACTCAGGTTTTCTAATTGGAACATGTCAAAGAACAACAAACCTCCTATCCCAGAAAAATACTATGCTGAAAAGATTGAGTTTTAAAACTTCATGAACTTAATACTCATGTCAGTTCTTCAAGAATCCCTATTTGATTAAAATGGATTACAATAAGAAAAACCAGAAAGCACATGACTCAATTCAGCAGAAGAACACTGCAGGCAAACCAAGATTGCTCCCCTGACATTGATTCAGAACAGCTACGGCTATCACATTACCCAGCCAGAGAGCACTTCTGCTTTAACTAGCCTCTTATAAAAAGAGGAGAATTTGTGAACTGTCATCAGAATCATTGCCTTTCTGGACTACTTCAGCCAGAAGGATCTCTTATGTTTGAGGATAGAAGTGGGATCATTTATACTTTGTTGACTTTGGATAATTTAAAGTTTTAAAGAATGTTTTAATATTTTCTTCTTCCCAAACAGAAGACTAAAAAAATTTCAGGTGTTGCGTGGCTATGAAACGTGTCTGGTCAGTGATTTGTAATGTGCTGTTTGCCCTACTGATTCACTTTTTGTACTTAAACAAAATATTTTTTTATATTAATTAAACCTGGACAAGAGATGGTACATGTCTTCTTTTATAATATATCATTGTTTTTCAGTTATCTTATTTCGTTTCTGATTACAAAATCTGTTCTACAGCTAGATATTTAAATCTGATTAGAAAAGTACAAAAATCTACCATCACTTGTGATATTTAGATGAAAGATTTATATAAGTGTAACTATAAATCAAAGGTTTAAGAGTTCAAAATAGTGGAATGTCTGTTTATTTCCAAAGCTTAAGGGCATTAATTAGTGATTTAATCCAAATTCTATGTATTGACTTGTAGAGAAATGAATATTTACCTGAGAAAGATGATCATTTCCCCTTGTTTTATATTTTGCTCTCTTTGTTTTATTTTCTGCTTATGAGAGCAATCCATACTTTTCACAAAAATTCAACAATTACAGAATTATACAATAGGAAAGTCCTTGTAATACCACTCTAGAAAGACAACCACAGTTTGGGTGGACATTGAGAGAGGTTACTTAAGTTACTTAAGCACCAAAATATTTGCTGCTCAGGGTGCCAGAATTATTTTTTTCAAAGGATGATTTTGGTTTTGAACACAAGAGGTCACCATAACATTACAGCAACCCTCTTTTCAACTTGATTGACCTTCACTGCACATTTTTACATTAAAAAAGTGCAATTGTATGTGGAATATAACCAAAATGAAAATGCATACATTGTGCAAAAATGAAAAATGATGTAGAATTAGATGAAATAAAATATTAAAAAGGAAAAAAAAAAGTCACATCAAAGTTTCAACAAGTGACTTTCATTTGTATATGTTAAAAGGTTTTTTTTTTTTTTTTTTAAGACATCTCACTGATTGTGAAGGAGTTCTGCTCCATCTCTTACTCCAGTCCTCAAAACATCCCTGGTTCTTATATTCTTCTGTTCCTCCTAAACAGCAAATTATCAAGTGTGAAAACAATCTAGTTTTCACACTTTATATTCACAGTGAGTCATATTGTTTTAGGGATTCCTATAGAGGGAAGGAAAAGCTTGTGAACAACTCATTTGA